AGATCTGGACAGAACCAATTTGACTTCCCTTCTAACCATGAAACTATAAATACTATATTTCTGAATGCACTAAGTGTATGATTTAAGTGGCTTTCTAACTAAGCTATAAATAGGTAAAAAAATTCCATTAGCTGATTGAGCTGAGCACCACAAAAGCAAATAATGAAACTGTGTGTGGCTAAAGATTTCCTGGCCTGGCATCTAAATGAACTATCCTTGTAACAAATCTTATAAATCAGAATCTGCTCTTTCTGTTGATTATAAGTAATTTAACAGCAAATGTCAGTGATTTATTGATCAATTTTTAACTACAGGATGAGAAAGGAGGGCTGTGTCATGCGAGTTTGATTTTCTTGTTTGTATCTCAGTAAAGTAAGAGGCTATAAATTTACATTGTTTGCTTAACAGTATTTACAGTATAAATGTGTAATTGGTAACACATAATGGTAGAAAGAAAATCTAAAATGGGCAATTCAGAGCATCATACAATAGAAAGAAGTGATGACTGAAAATTTATTTAAATACTTCATTTGGAAATTAAGAAATTTAAGCTTATATAATATAAAAATTTTAATTACAAACTACATTTTAATACCAAATTTATTTACATACATTGATAATAAAGTTGTTTAATTAAATTTTTAATATAACTCTATAAAAATGTGGCATGCTCACCTTGACCCACTTGAAACCAGAGGGTTAGATAACAAAAGACATCTAACTTCACATCTAATAACCTTGACTCTGAAAAAAGTGCTAAGCCTACTTTGAATATACTACATTAACACTAATTCAAATTACCATTAGTTTGCTTCAGTAAATTTGTGTTCAGATAATATTTAAACTTTGCTGCTATTTTTCATATTTTAATTTTTTTTAAACCTGAATGGCACTTAAAATATCCATCTGAAACCCTAACTTAGTGTGATTAAAATGATCAATGCAGAGTTTAAAAAGGTAAACTGTAGAACATTTAATATTAATTTTATTTTTTATCTTCAATTACAGTTTAAGAAAAGTTATAAAATAAATTGGCACTACACACATTCATAGTTTTATTATGTGGCCTTATCTAGTAAAACTAAACTACCAACAGTACTTTCTAAAGATCCTTACAAAAAATGGTGATAAAGTTGTCAAAAGCTTACTCTTTTAAAAAATTTGAATTTTGAGCAAAAACTATTTCTTCTTACGACCTCTTGTGAGTCAGAACAAGAAACTATTTGTAAAATAAATGAGATGTTAACCCTATGTACATGGGTGGGGGGTCAAAGTATGCATGCCCCAATCTCATACAGAGTGCAATTTAACATGTTATACTCAGTATAATTTTATTAAGTGTAAAACAATTTTGTAAATAGTGACTGCATAATTTCAAACATTATTATATTTTCAATACAGTAATATAGTTCCCAATAACAAAGTCAATCACATTACTTCACTTAAATCTCAGCTTTTAGAATGAGTCAGTGTTTTAGTTTTTGACAACAAGAGTTCAAAACAATGACTTCACCTAAGTGTTAGAATCAAACAGAAACGTGACATAGCTTTTACAATCTCCAATATGTTTATAAGTTTTTATCTTTGAATGATTAAATCAAAAATTTCAATTACATAATACTTACGAATTCTGGAGTTCAACCCTTTTAGAACTCAATTTTTTGTACTCAGTATGGACATGATATTGGCAAAATTCACAGTGTGCCCTGAAAAAAAAAGAAGTACATATCAGATATTTGAACTTCATGGAAGTGTACCTCTAGTAAGTAATTTTTTGTTGTGCAGTATATAACAGGGATAGGAGACAGTGACTTCAAGTTGTCACTATCTTTTTTAAGCCATTAAAACTGTAACAGAAAACAATTTATATTCAGTAAATCCACTTACTATGATATCAAGACCAAAAGTAGAACATTCTCAAGACAAACATTAAAAAAAAAGATTCTTGTCTAAAATTTCATGAGGTACATGTTGATCTCAATTTAATCTCTCTGCACTTAATTTTTTTTATTACAATAAACTAGCAGATGTACCTGTGAAATGCACAGTGAAAGGTTTTTAAAGTTAACAAATCATTTATATGTTTCATTTACCGATTTTAGAGATAATGGCCATTGTTTCTTTTTATCTATGGCTACATTTTTACTGGTGTTTATGGCTATGTATGCACTTGCGTACTATCTTTGGCATGATCACATCCTGATTGATGTGTAAAATATCAAAAAGAAATAAGATGTCTTATAATAAAGCACACACTATTGACAGGTATTGTTGTGAGGTGTTTATATCAATGAATATTAAATCCCTCAAATGATTATTGAGATTTGAAATTTTTTTAAAACAATTATGAATATAAAGATTGAAAGTACTTAAGAATATAATTATTCATGTCTACTGGGCTTGATTATTTAAATAATGTTATATTTTCTATTTTAGTTATTTTATCAAAAAAGCAATAAATAACATGTGACTTAAACAAATCTCACTTAATATAAGTGTGTCTTGAAAGTATGTATAAAAAATGTGTGACAAAAAAATCCCTCAAATGATTGACGGGATTTGAAAAGTAAATGAAATTGTAGATTTAATGTTTTATCAGTAATAAATAGAAAGTGTTTCTGTTTTTGTCTTAAATATGTCAGTAATGATTGAAAGTACAGACTGTATGTATAGCCTATGTAATGGAAGAGGAAACTGGAGAAGTCCCATCAGTGACCACTCCCACTGACGATCTATATTTAACCATCAGTGGAGCTATGAAATTACATATATTAAAAGAAAAATAACTTCTTGATACATTCCAAGTCATTCCTAGTTGATTAAACCATATTTGACAGGTTCAAGGAGGAATTAAAGGACAAACAAACAAACTTCTCTCAAATTATTGTAGGACTGCAAGAGTTTCTGGCAAAATGAATAATATAAAATGAAATTATTTTTGTGAGCTTACACACTTATGAATTTACTATACAAAATTTTTAATCACTTTATTTTTGTTCAAAATAAATTCACATCCTTGGAGTGGGCTAAAATAGTAACCTTGTCAAAACAGTTGAGAACTCTTACTGTGAAATTAGTGAAAATATTACATGCAAAATATTAACACTCCAAACAAAAACCAGATTTTTGTTCTGTAATCATATTTCACAACCAATGTTTAATTTCTCATTTTACTACATGAAACTTAACTGCTTCCATGTGTAAAACTACACCAACACCTTACTTGTCACTTTTATATGAAATAAATGTACTGAGCTCACCATCTTTTAATTAGATCTGTTGTCAAATGGCTGTGATTCAACATCACCTATGCATGTGGAAACTCTATGTAACTTTCAAAACAGTTTAGACCATTACATCATTTCAAAATTATATGATACTTGCATGTTAACAAAAGCTGAACAGGCTTGCCCATCCTTTCGCTTGCCTTTGCAGTAACCAAAATCTTTAGAACTTCCCATGATCATTAATTTTCCTGGATGATCCACTGTCAGGCTCAAGTCATCAAATTTCTGTAAATAAACAAGATCAAATATAATCAGAAAAACCTGAGTAGCTCATTTATACAGAATCACAAGTAAAGCAGGGAATAATTGCATTCTCTGAAGTGTGCAAAAAAAAAAACTCATACTATTATTGTTAGTTTAGAAACATCTGCTGAGCTCTTTATTTAACAAATAGTATATCATAAAGACCAAAAAATCATCATGACTCAAGATAAGCCTCTAACAGCCTCTACTCTTCATTACAACAGCAGTTAGTTCAAGTTCATAAAAAGCTGAAAAGAATCAAATGACAGAACTTCACCTTTATCAAAAACCTTGAAAATAATTCTTTATCTCAAAGAATGTATTTATAAAATGGATCTATAATTTACTATATTGTAGTTGAACTTTAGCTGATCTTTTTCTTCTACAAAAACAGGTTAGTCAGAACCATTTTGACACTGGCCAGAAGTGATATCAAACTGTTTCTTAACGACTAAGACTACAAAGGAAAGACAAAAGAACTTAAGAGCTTTTATTAAGTAGAAAATATTTTCTAAAAATTTCTCATACAAGTGGATTATTTTTATTTCATGCATACTTTCATCTGTTGTAATTTTTCAATTCACCAGGTTTCGTTGAGTTCAATACTGAGAAAAGAGGGAATTAGATAGTTTATCTTATTAACTGTGCAACCAAAATTATATTTATTTTCCTCCATAACAAAAAACCAGCATTTAAAAAGGGATTAGCCACCAGACTTACACTCTGATAACAATTAACTAATTTTAACAGTTCATTCAGGCAAATCACAAATTTTTTTGTTTATCACAAACTATGACCATTTGCCATAAGAAAACCATGTAATTTTTCAGAACTTAACATTTGTAGATGGCAACTATTAAGACAAAAACCTTACATAAAAAACAAAAAATTATGTAACATATCTTACTGAATTTTCTTTTTCAGGCATTATTGAAGCATTTAAAATTCCAACTACAGTGCCGATGCTTTCTTTCCAATGCTGCTGATAAACTTCTCCAAATAAAAACAGACTTATAACTCTACTGCAGTCTCGAAGATCACTCATTTTCCAAATTGAAAATGTTTTTCCCTGTAGTTTCAGTAAGAAGAATCATGATGTTTATTAAAAAAAAGTTCATTGTGTTACAAAAAATACTCATATTTAAAAACACTCCATAAATAATAAGTTATTAATGCAATAATATTTCTGAATATCTTTATGCTAAATATGCATCACATCAATTTGTCATTCCCATTGAAAACACATAGGGAATACAATCTTCAGGTATTTCTAAACCTTTACATGATTGATGCAACCAGAAAACCCATTAGTACAAGCCTAAAAGAAAATAACCAATAACATCATCCATAGGAAGATCTGTAAAAACTAAAGGAGAATGATTTTTGACATTGTGTGACTAGCACAAGAATAAGGTCAATGCACTCTGAAGTTGGTAATCTGCATGCTATATATCAACAAATGTGCCAAAATGTGTGAAAAATTTGTGAACATGGATTATTTACTTCTCTATAATAATAATAAAAAACAAACACATTTCACATACCAAACATGGAGATCCAAATATCTAAATATCTTCAATTGTCATATGATTTTATAATCTTCATCTCTCAAACCTTAAGCATTATAAGCTCATCAAATTTTCTGTTTTAGCCATGAAGCATAAAAACATGTTCAAGTAAGTTTAGTCAAGTGTAAACATTTCTTTTGGAAGATACAATATAACTGACTGGTAATACCAGCAAAATACCACATTTTCCCCAAACATAAAATCATTTAGTTTTTAGGTCATTCCTAGTTTCAACTTCGGCAATAGCACATTCATCTTCTGAGGGTGAATGAATTAAAATCAAGGGACTTGGAAAATGTAAGTGAATTAATACTTGGGAAAAAAAACCCTAGTAAACTGATTATGACAAGTAGGCATAAATACGTTTCTAAATAGTCAGCTCACCCCCTGCATTCGTATTATCAGTTGCCAAAGTGTTTTCTTTATTGCATTTTTCTAGATTATAACATATGGGTTGATCATTATAATTTGAAATTTATTTCAGCAATTCATCAGTTTCCTTTGATTAATATTTAATATAACATAGTTGTTTTTAAAATTTTCAATTTTATTTGAAAAGTAACTTTTAAGGATTTTACATCTAAAATTGAACCACTTCCTGATCTTACTGTTTTTGATGATGTTTTACTGTCTGTCTTATGTGTGATGACTCCTACTGTTACCCAGTCTCCTTCAATATCTCCTCCTCTCATACAGTTCCGAATAAGAGACATTCGTACCATCCTGCGACCTTCCATTCTGGCTTTCATGACAGTAGAGGATACTAATGGTTTGCTTAAATACAAAAATAAATTTTACTTGAAAATATTAATAATTATGAGAATTAACTTTCTAGAGCTAAACATTCTATAATTTACAATCAAGGGAAAATGATATAATTAAATTATAAGATATGATGAAATAACATTTATGCCAGTAATTTTTACTGTAGTGACATATCAAATTTTTGCATTTCTTATCATTTCTATCTCACTATTTCTCTTTACATTCAGAACTAAACTAGAAGCTATGTGGTGTTTTAATTAAAATGATTTATGTATTAAACAAACTGATTTTTTTCCCTTCTTTCTTTTTGCTGAACTTTTCAAATTTTAACTCTTTTCTTACTTCTGTCTTTACTTTTGCGAATGTTTTGCTATGTTCAACGAAGTTAAAATTCCCCAAGGAAGAAGGATTAAAATGTAAAGATGTTGATGTCATACTGCAGAAAAGGTATGAGCCATGCTTGGATACTGATTCATTCAGGACATAAGAGCCTATGCAGTTCTTCATAGAAATATATACCAAAGGAAACACAACTATTACATTTCTCCTGTGATTATACTGTGTTTGAAGGGTGAAT